GCTCAAAAACACCAAAACCATTCAGAACTGAGCGAACACAAACCGAATTTTCGACAATCTAGGCTGATCCTACCTCGTAAATATTTCATACCCAATAGTGGCCGCTGCCCATAAATCGGCCATTCGGAAATCCACCAACTGGTCGGGATCGGGTCGAGCGCAGCGTATCTGAAGATTCATAAATTAAACTATGAAGCGTATTATTTCAACAACTAAGCAAATCCAAGACTGGTCGGAAAACAGAATGAAAATTTACCTCAGGCGCTCTTAGTGCTAAATTTCCACCCAAATCAACCGTGTCGCTGTGATAACGTACTTTCCATGTTCCAGTCGCTAATGCACATCCAAAATCACTTAAAACTAAATGCGGAACATCCTCTGAAATTTCTTAAAATTTGCAACAAAAGCAAATTTTGCAAAAAACAGGACAAGGTTAAAAAGAGTGCAAGTTTTTAAAAAGGACAGGACAAAAAAGATGGAAAAAAAGCTGTAAATTACTGAAAAAGAAATATATCATGCTGCCACATTTCATTTTAAGCACCACGGCACCAACCTATCGTAGGGCACAGATAAGAAAAGTGAGGAAATGAAGTGAGGAAATGATAAGTACGAGGAAGGATGTGATTGTAAATAATCAATACAAAAATTTCAGTTTTTTTTCAGTTCTAATTTAAATCATTAACAAATCATTCTTGTTTTTCGACTTCAATTTTGTCTTGTTGCACTTAATCTAGCTGAAAAAAACCTTCTGACTCCATGGATGCGCAAACCTAATTAAATTTAAAAATTCTTGTTGACACTATGAAGCAAAAATTCTGAAATTTAAAAACTTGCAGTGTTTTTTTCGTAAGTCTAAAATTTTAGGAGAGAAATAACACCGAGCTTAAAATTTTAAAAAGCCCACCTTCAGTATCAAAATCCAGTAAAATATTATCTGATTTAATATCACGATGACTTATTCGTCGATCGTATAAATACACTATCGCTTCCAAGAGTTGCCCAAACATCACTCTTCCAATCCAAAAATTTCTTTTACACGTAAGTACATATTCGCGTAACGTCATTCGGTACCTAGATTTTTCTAAAGATTAAAATTTTTCACATTTCTAAACACAGTTTTTGAAGTTTTTGGAATTTTTCCCTTTGTCTTTGCTCGCGTAAAACTCGATCCTCATTGTAATATGGGGAGTAGTGACAGACAAAGAGATGTGGAGCATAGCGGGGTAAAAACTTCAGCAGCTTCCAAGTATTTCGAGAAGAGGTGGGTTGAAAAAAAAATCTTTTTTTGCTGGAAAAAAAATGAAATTTTTTGAATATCTTAGTGAATTTTTATTGCTTATTTTTTTCATCTGTATAAAAAATACATACCTTTTCATTACAATAAATAATGTTTTCGGTTCATCGACGACCAATTCAAAGAAATCATTGGTAGGCAGAGCTTCTGGATACAAACGATGAGCATCCTCCAGGATTGGCATTCGATCGGTGAAAGCTTTATACATATGTACAATATTTGGATGTGAATGAGGCAAAAAACTCATGCTGCAAGTGGATAGGAAAAATAACTATCAGTTCAACTAGATGTCGCAAAAAAATACAGAATCTTGTTAATTTGAATTCAAGATTTCACTTTCATGAATTCGAAATGAAGATTAGTTTATGCAAGAATTAGAAAAAAGAGCTTGCTCATTCTCTGAATTGCTTAAATTCGAAATATTAAAAAA